GGATCGAGGACGACCTCGAAGAATAAATATTTTTTTTTATTTTTTATTATTTCAATGATTTTTGGAAAAAAAAATCGAAATAAATGTTTGTAAAATATGAAAAAAAGAAAACACTTGTTTACGTTACTTTCTTTATCGTAATAGAATTTATTCTGAGTGAGTGAGTGAGTAATGTGTGAACGATTGAAAGTGAGCACGACGATGGACATGTTCAAGAAGCTGCCCGTTCTGAAATTGGGTCTTCCCCAACCTGCCGCGGAAGTCAGGTGGTCCGGATTGCTCGTCGTGGACTCGAGGTGCTACGCGGACGACGACGACGACGACAACAAAGACGACGACGGTCGCGGTCCCGGACGAAGAACTCGCAACGGTCGATTGTGGCGAGAATCGAGGACTTTACAGAATTCATGCCGCTGTTTCTGACCCTCGATTCCATGCACGACTGGCGCATATTCTTCGGTCGAGCAAATTCGAACGATTCCCCTCTCACCTTCCAGTTGCATTTCGACGGAAGGCGTTACGGTTCAGACAACCCCTACTTCGAACTTCTGATGCGCATACTGAGAAACGCGTGCGCCAGTCACAACGGCAACGACGTAGCGGAGTCCCGGTCGTCGACGTCGTTGCAGTCGATCGCCGGCATGATAGAGACCTGTCTCGATCATCTGGGAGTGGGAGGAAACGTGCAGCTTGGGTCTCGTCCTAGGTTCTCGCGGCACCCGGGCGGGCGTATCGAATGGCTGCACGCCGACATGTTCACAGCCATCTTCTCGTTGGAGACTCTGAGAGATACGATCGAAGATCTGGCGGTCAATGCCGAAAAACTCGTGCTGGCAACTACGACGACGACGACGACAACGAACGAGCGGGGATCGAACGACCCGGTTCTCGACTTCGAGCTTGCGGACGCGGACGTTCGAAGTTTCGTCAACGAGGTTGTCGACGATCCGCGCAACCCGTTGAGGAACTGGTTCGTATTTTGCAGTTACGCGAAGAGCTTGGGTTCGTCGGTGATCCGTCCGCTGCGGCTTCTCACGGAGGTCGGCGAAGGAAACTCGGCGTTCCCGGCCGACGCCGACGTCTTCCAACCGAGCTTGTGGAAGAGGTTGCGCTCCAACGGAACCAAGCTGCCACCGTGCGTGTCCGAGTCGACCGTGCTCCACGAGCCTGATAGGGACAAGGTGATCAACGTGTTTCCTCTCTTCTCCGGTGCGCACGACGACCGGGAAGTGGAAGACAACATCCGAATGGACGAGAACAGGATAAGGCGGCAGAGATTGCGGCGGTGCGTCGAGGAGGTCGTCGGCGACAACGTTCCTCGCTTCGTCGACCGACGCACTCTGCCCGGAGATCTCGAACTCGGAGTCGTTGACATGGCATCAACGTACGCGTGCGCCTGCACCGTGCTCTGATAGATACAAAAAAGGTTCATAAAGCGTCCGTTATCGATACCGAAGATCGAAGATAACTATTCGAGAATGTCAACTACCGAAAGCAGCGAACATCGAATGCGCCTGACCCTCCGCGATTTACACGGAGGATACGAAGTATCTATCCTCGACGAAGACGTAGAGAGATTTACCGATTGGTCATCTTCAATCTCCTCGTATTTTACTCCCGAAGACGGTGTCGACGTCGAATACAGGCTGTACTTGTACGTCGATCACACGTTCGAAGAAGGTGCGTTTGGACGCGAGTTGTGCCAGCTGAAGGGAAGCACCACGCTCCAGTTACGCAACGGCGTAAATCTGCAATGTCTCGTGCCGGATCTGAACAGGGAGGTATACTTGGATAAGGACGACACTCTGGTTGCCGCCATCCTGAGAAGGTTGACAAAGTTGTCGCGCAAGTCGGCAAGCTCTTCGACAACCTGTCATGGACCAACCTGACTGCCGATCAGATCTCCAGGAGTCATAGTTTCATGACCCTCGTTCGTGCCAACGAAACTTCCAGAGCTTTCCATACCACTCAGAATTAAATAAAGTACATGTTGTTGTTGTTGTTATAACGGAGACAGAAATGAAATAAAAGTGACAATGTTTAAAAAAAATATTTTGTACGTTTGTTTATTTCAGACCGTTATGTTGACAATGACGACGACGACGAATGCCGAAAGGATTTGGATTCGATGCTCCGAACTTTCGACAGAAAGGTATCTATGTGCAGTCTTTGTGAAGTTGTGGGAAAGAGTTTCGAAACGTCCACCTTTTCGGCCGGGATATTCGACGCCCGTGGCGGTCGTCTGTCCATCGTCGGCGCCGGGATCGATCTGCATATTCCGAAAGGAGCGATCCCTCCGAGAACCACGAAGGAGATATACGTCTATGTGGACTAAGGAGCGCGATTGGAGATCGAAAACGAACGAGACACGTCGGTCCCGTCCGTCGTCGGGTGCGGTGCGGATCGTCTTCGAGGAAGCGTTGACCCTATCGTTTCCTCTCCGATTGGACACCGACCGTCAGTTGGGTGAAGATGGACCGATGTTTCGTCATGATCGATCGGTTCTCC